TTGCGGGGGGGGGGGGAGAGCGGGAAACAAGGGGGTTGTTGGGTGAGCAAGGTGGGATGGGGTAGGGAAGGTTTGGCAGGTAGGGTGGGTGGATTAGTTAAACTGAACAGATTTAGGTTGATCTGGGAAACTTTCGTCTTCAAGTATAAAAACCACATTCTAAACAACCATGAATCTTTAGGTGTTTTTAATGTAAATGTCAAAGTTGCAAATTTTTAACAGATGTTGGTCCATGTTTTGCACAAACCTGTTTGACAAATCTCTCCCAGTGCCTCCTGGCAACGTTTAAATGCCGTATGTCGGTAACATAACACACGCCACCAACAACATTGCTCAGCGACACTCCTGACTGAATGGCGGCTAGCACTCGCTGCAGGCTGCGCAATGAGAGGGCGCACTGCGGTGTAATACCGCCCTCTACAGTTTGCATGGTGCTTGGGCACAGGCTTAGCATGCCAGCTGAGAAAACGAAAGCACCCATCTGTTTTGAAAAATGAAACACAAATAATAGAGAACTTTTGACAGAAGTGATTAACGTGTATTAGTTCTTGTACAGAAAATATTTGACAAAGCTTGTAATCAGAATTATGGCTAAGCAATATCATATGCTCATAGAAGATATGCTGGAACACATTGAAGCAACAAACATTATCATACATGCCACCGTGGATGGTAGCATCTCTTCATTAAGCAAACACATTTTGTGCTAAGCAGATCTACTCGATAAGCAGCTCAATGAAATTAGTCCCAAGTGTTTTGACAAGTTCACCCACGGCAGGAAAACCACCGCTAGATTAAGTCATTCATATAACTCTCTTAATATACCAAGTTCTGCCTTGAACTTGGCAGAAAAAATATTCAGCTATAAGGAGACTTTGGAAGTAATTTGGAGCTGACTGTGAGCCAAGAGTAGGTGCTAATATGAGCCAAGAACATATCCTTTATCTGAAATATCATCTCCATATAACTCTACAGGCACCTCTCCCTTGTGGTCCATACCTATAACTTGTGATGAGTGTTTAGTTAAATGTATAGTCCTAAATACCTCAGACAGTCTCTTTATTCAACAACATGCAACTAGACCATGTGCCCAGTGAGAAGCAATAATGCCCGCTACATAAATCATGCGCTGGCACCTGGATACGAGACAGTTTAATCGATTCTATGCGCCAAGTCCATATAAGGAGATTCTATTGGAGAACTTGCTCAGGGCATATACCATAAAATGGATGGGGGTGTCCAGGAAAATGAAAGTAAAATTCTAGAACAAAATCATTGGAAATTCATTGTATTTTGACTTCTTTTGACTCTCTAACTAAGATGGTATTTATGAATGAAAATAAAGATTTGCTTGGCCGATCTTAAACTAACGTACATAAGTAAGACCGGCTCAGGAGACTGAATGCTGAAAATGCCCGAGCCGCACATTAGTCGCGTCCATTGTCCTAAGCCAGTGTTCAACGCACATTTAAGACCGGCCAAGCACATATTTATTTCCTTTATAGTAAAATGTAGTAATGGATGTGCATATGAAGCGGACCAACAAAGTACATATGGAAAAGTGCCTTCAGACACAAATAACTAGTGTGCACGTGACTATGTGTCCCCCACAGTGGTAATACATTCTCGAGTTCAAATCAATAGAACAGAGAATTTTAAAGCCAAAACCCTTCTCCTGTAAGGCCGTTGTTTTCTCACCTGAACAGCCTGACTGTATGGGCCAATGTTAGCCGGTGCCCAGTGAGATATACTCTGTACATGCATGGTGTGTCTGTGCACCGGTGAATCAGCGATGCCATCACCACATAGGTTAGGTTTGCCATCATCACAGCCAGGATTTCCTTGCTGAACATTTCTTTGAGCTAAGCAGTCAAGCTGCAGGTCGCATGGCAGGTCAACTTGAATACAGACTCTAGCAAGGTACAGAGGCAACATGTGGATAAAAAAGAAAGTTTATTTTTAAGCCTAATGCTCAGTCTTACATACGTGTATCCTACTGAAGCATTAATCACTACAGCCCAACCATGCAACCAAATTTTAACACCCTACTGCGCATGTCCAACTAACCACTTCAATGAAGTATCAAGTTGAAACAATCTTTCAACAGACGCTACAATGATGTTTCCGAACTCAAACAACACAAAAGTTGTCCTCACAAAAAAGTTGGAAGTTTTGAAATGAAACGGATAAAAATACAGGTTTGAGGGCTATTTTGAGCATGCGTAACAGGCCTTCACGTACCGTGCTGGGGGACGCTGCTGATAATATCTACAGTACACCGAGTTGATTTGGGAGAATTGGGACATGTCTCTGACGTACAGGTGGACTATGATGACATCTGTGAGGTAGTACCCATGATTACCAAGACTTTCTGAAACAAACATTTTCACCCACACATGTTGCAAGCTACGCATACTGTACTTTGTGCTAATTCAGAAATTACTCTGAATCAGAATAAGCTTGAATACACAACATAAAGCATTGTGCAATTAAACTTTTTTTTTTCAATCGTATTATAAATCTGAACAATTTCACTTTTTGCAATCATAGACTGTACCTGTATATATGAATAGGGCCTACACAATTACATCTATGTGAAGAATAACAGAATAACAGAAAAACGCAAGTGTAGACTTTTACCAGATGATTAGAAAATGGGGTCATTGGAAAATAGCAGGAGGCAGAATTGAACTTGACGTGAGAATCATCATTTGTACTATGAACCATTTGGCTACCACATCCAAATCCTCACCTTTCAATGACTCCATTGCTTGCTGTGTACTTTCACTTATTGTTGAACAATCCGATTGTGTAGCAGTTATCCCTGACACCCACATGTAGCCCTCGCTGGTGATTTTACACACTGGAGGTAGTGCATCCATTGCTGACAAAAAATTAAGTTCCCTAACAAGATCAGCTTTACTATTTGCGACCCCACCAAAACAGCACCCAACACTTTATGTTAAGGAAAATGAAAAAATATACCTTCAACGACACGAAGACGTAACGTTCAGATTCATTAAAACCTTCTGTAGTTATCACATTTATGTTTCGTTGCTTGAATTTTAATGTGTATCTCGATAATTCAAAAATAATTTCAAACTACTCCGCAATTAGGCCCTTCATCTCTACAGACCAGTTCAACAAGTTGTTCACATGCATTGTGGGATGTCGGCATGAAGTGCTATATGAGAACTGTTTTATTACTATTATAATTCACCAGAAATGTTCTTCTTGTAAAATTCTGAATGAAAGTTTCTGACCTGTCATCACCATAATCACATAATTATCAAAGCTGATGACCTTATAACTTGAGTGGCATCACTTGAGTTAGCTGTGTGTAGTTTACAGAATTAATAACGAGTCACGTTAACAAGCCCATCAATGGTTCTGTGTGTTCACCTTTATCCGATGTACTGTTTGTATTTTCTTTGGGTTTCTCCTCTTCTGGCAAATGTTGCTCTACTTCCGTTTCCTCAATCATGAAATCTTGCAGCTCTAGGAGGATTTCAGAGCCTCTTTTCATTGGGATGCCTTTTATCCTGTCTACAAAGGTTTCTCCAACATTCTGAAGTAAATGACAAAGAAACATGACAAAGTTATTTCATAAGTTCGCAGATTGGAAAAAAAATTTCCATTCAGCTGTACTGGCAACATTGGGATTTACATCTTTTTGTAGTCCTGAAGTAGTTTTGCTTAACATCATTCTCAACCCACAAAAATGTTTCACTGTTCGGAAGCCAATCAAACAATTATTCTTGGTACATGTTTTGTACCTTAAACTGCAAACAAAGAGCAGATAGGATCACGATTCCTGTTAGGAACCCATTACAGGACTACACAATCAGATCTGGGATTTTGAAAGACTTGATCACTTCTGTTCATGCATGCCTAAGTGAAGGCGCCGACTCAGCAAGTCCATGAACATGTAACGACACTCATGATACCCCAGCCTGCGTTGGTCCTACACTGACCTGTTTCTCCTCCAACTCCACATTGAGAAGGTTAAGATACCACACAGGTGCAAAGGCATCATCGCTGTGGTTTATCATTTCCTGATGCTTTCTGAAATGGACAAGGGGAAAAGGCCGTAAAGAAAATGAGCAAACCTAAATATTTCTTATTGATTTACTATGCTAAAATAGCACCAAAAAACACTTAAAATGCTGTGGGCAATGCTGTAATAGTCTTGACTTTCTTCCATCAAAGGGACTTGCTCTTTTTGTATCATGAACGAAATAAATTATCTCTGTAGAAATTAATTTCTCACACCAGTCTTTCAATTCAATGTTTAGAAATGGCCAGATACAGGCCACGTCCTTTTCATGACAGCAAAATTGCAAAATTCTTTAATTTCCACCTGAATCAAATAACTCATTTGTTTGTTTTTAATCTTTTTTGGAATATTCTTCTGACAAACAAAAAGAAAGTTTGCTGCTCATGCGTTATACACAAGTTTACGTCAGCAAAAAAAAGCATCTGTCAAGTGAGCATATGAAAAAAAGGCACACAGCGTATGCATGACTTCTCAGTGGAATGTGGACACACCGGTCAATAACAGGACAGTTAGCACCAATGTAGCAACTCTGCAGTTTAACTCAACATTACTTCATGCAATTTGCCACAGAGGGAAAAGTTCATATGCATGCATTATACACACGAGGAGCCTAAAGCTAAGTTTGTGATCTAAATGACAAAGACGCACAACACAATGAAGGGAAAAACGTTGAGTTGAAAGCCATGAGCCAGTTGAACAGTTGACAGGTTTTCACAGTTTACAGCTTGTTCCAAAGACAATAACGTATCAAGCTCCAAACTTGCCAAATGGCTTGCACAAATAGGCAGACCGATGCACTCACTCTACAAATATCCAAGAGAACTTTCATTTAATCCAGAATTGCAGATGGTAATCCTGAAGCAACGCTGGCACACATTTGTTTTATTTATTCAAAAAAGCTTACACGTTCAACTTCTTGGCAAATAGTGGGCAATCCAACGTAAATGTCTCAAACTCCCCACCCTCGCCGCAGACATTCAACTGGTATTTCTCTTTCTGAAATCAAAACAAGTAGCTCTAATTAGCCGAAAAAGGGACTGGATTGATTCAATTCTACCACAAAAACTGTACCATCCGTTTTGTCTTTTATTACCACCATTGAGTTTTAGATGATGAAATAAATAGCTCTGGCTTGCTTTCACTATCCAAGTTTTACTTGGTACAAACCAAACAAAAACTGTACCATACGTTTTGTCTTTTATTACCACCATTGAGTTTTAGATGATGAAATAAATAGCTCTGGGTTGCTTTCACGATCCAAGTTTTACTTGGTACAAACCAAACAAAAGGCATCTATTCTTTACCACCAAGTGTAATTATCCAAAAGGTCCAAGTATATAACGGTATGTGGGCCACATAGCCCTTGTCAAATGCTGTTTCCCCAGTCAGTTTCCTTTTACGGCATCAGAGTCTTTAATTTGCATATTTAATATTTGTATAATTAATGGTAAACAGATGCGAAAACTTCAAAAAAGAAATCATCGGCACAAGAAATGTAAGCTACGTGAACAAGTCAGCCACTTTTTTGGCCCCACAGAGTACATGTAAATCCTGGTTCATATGAATACAAACGGCAGCCAGTGAAGAATGTCCCATCACATTACTGTCTTGAAAAATGTGCAGTTGGCTGAAGTACAGATGAAAACAGCCCCACAGTCAAGAATGCTCACCATGCGCAGCATGTGGGGCTGGATCTCCTGAAGGGTCATTCCAAGGTGTGCGGAGGTCAACCCTACACAGCCAATAACAAGTGAACGCAACTTGGTCAAAATTCTTATCAGGATGGACATGTCTTTCTTGTGGATTTTGTTCCAAGTGTGAGGAAATAGCCCCTGCTCTTGACAGCAAGTTTTTCAAAGGCGTCCCAGAGTTGCAGTCACTACCATCCCCCCTAACGGTCCTCAAGCCTCCAGCAGGTGGACCGAGGACTGTTACCATTAAATGACTTTGGGTTCTCTGATACCCTATGAAATTAAGTTGTTTCAGTTAGAGCAACAGCGTATGGAATAAGCTGACTAATATGTAACAGTGATTGAATCACATTCCAAATCCTACAAGTACACACCAAAGTCACAGCTGAACTCACTTGCTTGTTTTCAACTATCATTTGCATTTATTCAGGAACTAAAAACACCCTGCACTGAATAATACTATAAAAGGAGTTTGAACATATTCATACCCAAGGCTGCCACTTTGATGATGATAGCCTCCACCCCAGCCGTTATCATCTCCTGCAGAAGTTCCTGTTGATCCCTCCGCCAGAGGAAAGCCAAGGGCGTAAGCCCAAGTCTGGAACACCTGTGAGCATGATCAAATCAGAAACATTTGACCAATAATGGGTATTACTGTTTCTGATGATGGAACAAGGATTCCTCAAAGACTCCCCATGGCACTCTAGCCTGCAATGCTAAAGAAACCTGTGCTGGAGTGGTCTTCATGTCTATCGCGGTCTATATCATCCTTGAACCTGGTTCCTATCCCATGAGGCCAATGTCTGAACCTCCAAGATCTTTCTTCATCAATATTCACTGATTTCAGGAATATCAGTTGCACTTTGGACCTTCAAAACAAACTTTGGGGGAGTTAGGGAGGCGTAGTGGTTCTTTCCTGGCCTTTATACTCTGTGGCCCAGGTTTGATTCTCAGCTCAGTCCACACGTTTTACCCAGAACATTTCTCTGGGTGTTGTTCTCCCAACTCTCAATGTCTCCTCTCTATAGATTCCTTTTATAGGTTTACAAGCGTAGTTTACAATGCCGAGGGTGCTTTTGAAGAATCCTTGGTTTCATTACCAGAAATATTTAATAATAACATTCGACACTGGTTAGAGGACGTCAGGGCTACAATCCTGGACAAATCTCGTTGAAACATCCCCCCCCACCCCTGTCAATGTTGTTTCTCATTGGGTAAGCTGGGCTTAATCTTGGTCCAATAAATGACCGCAACATTGAATGGGGGAGAGGAGGATCTTTTCACCGCGCTCCCGCGAGGTGTTCCAACTATTTTATCCAGGATTGTAGGTGCAGTGAGCACTATGCAGTACAAAAACCACTCTCTGGTAAGCAAACAGGTGTTACTAGCAACCTGCCAATCCACCTTGAGTAAAAAAACCCTCATCGGTAGGAAAGAGCCATTTTGGTGAGAAGTGTTTATTTTATTGGTAGCGATGGGACCGTAACCATGCATTTCAATTTGTGAACCAGCAAAGTGCAGTTCCCACCAAAGGAACCTTCGTTGCTCAGAAAAAGGCATCCTTTCTTGGTCCCCCTGGGGCCCAATATCCTCCGACTCACTCCATTCAAACAGATTAGCTTTTGCTTTCCAAATCACTCTCTGTTTGGAGCACAGGGTCCAAAGCTCACAACCTTTCATGCCAAAGATAATCACATATGTTCTGAGGACGTAATGATTTTACATTTCAAAGACCTTTCAGAATTCATATCCATGCTGCAGATAGCAACAGTACTCTATGATAAGACATTAAACCTTTATAGCCTAACAATTAAAGAGCACCTTTTAGGAAAACACATTTTCTCTGATTTTATCTTTTCAAATACACATAGAAGCATCCAAATTCCATGCAGTGTCATTTGTCTTCAAGATCAAATATAACAAGCTTAAAAGGGCTTTTTTCTGTTCATGCCAAGATAGGAATTCTGAATGGAGATTGCGTCATTCTGAGAAAAAAATGAGGGGAACCCTTTCCCTGTGTTCGTAGTGGATAAACCCTTGTGTCAGAGAAAATGTGTTTTCCTTAGAGGTGCTCTTTAAGGACTTTTTAAGGGGCGATTTCTTACACATTTTCCACTCGTACCCTCTGGTAGTTGGACAGAATGGCTCCAACAGAAACACCCTCCACCCCTAGGTCCTTCTGAAAAAGCAGGAAAAGAATATGCCAATCCTAAATATTTGGCTGGTCTGTCATCAAAATTCTGAGAACAAGCATGCATGAAACGGTCAAGATGACTTACATGCCACTGGAAGGCACAACGGGTGTGACAACCAACTGAGAAAACAAAAGTTTCTTTCCACACAAATTCCAATGGGAAAATTAAAAGTCTGGGATAGAGGTTAAGATATTTTTGTAATACCGATGACATGGCTTCAAAAATCAAACTCGCCATGCGCATAAAATTTTGCTCTCAGACAGCAGAAAGTAAAAGTACCAAAACACAAAATATACGTCAGAAAGAATAGGGCACATGTTGAAGGTTGCATTTAAACCTGGATACTTGGAATATCATTTATCTAAAAATCAAGTTAGACCTCTCAGCTACAAATGAACTGTTTAGAATTAAAGAAATTCCAGAAAAACTCTGGGGAAAGTCAACAGAATCAGGTAAGGACTGAAAACCAAATCCGTACGTTGGCCTGGGGAGGATTTGAACCCAGGCTGCAGAGGTAGAAGGCAAGGAAAGTACCACTGCGACCACCTGACTTTCCAAGATCAATTTTCCACATTGGGAAATGAGCTGTTGCAACCAAGCGCATCAGGGTTTTTCAAGGGTATGGATCTACACATACATGTGCATACACCAACCACGTTCTCCAAGTTGCCATCTCCAACAGAATGTTCAAGGACAATCCCCGGTGTGAACAAAATAATCCAATGATTTTTCATGTACCTTAACTAACTTCAAGAGTCTGTACAAATCCTCTACTTCGTCACCCTCTGTTGCTGAGTAGTCCCCGCCCGGTTCCCGACACAAACCCTCAATGACATCTTGGTAGAGTGGTAGGCCCATGGCTTGGGCATATAGCTGGATGGCATGATGGCCAACTGTCTGGTACATGTAGCTGTCCACCTCATCTGAGGGAGAACATGCTTGATATCAACTAGTCTTAGTTCCAAGACGTTACTTCCTGTGTTCGTGTATTAATGAACGCTTTTGCGCACTAAATTTTGCCAGTGAACAGAGGGCGCTATGTAACGTCCGATAGTGCAAGATTATTGTACAGGTGCTAAGAATATGTAGCCCCTCGCCGGTCACATAGCGCACTCTGTTGACTGGCAAAATTTACTGTGTTGAAGCATTCATTAATACACGAACACAGCTACAGAAAATAACGTCTTGGAACTAAGACTAGTTGACATCAACCAGTGAGTGAAACACTAAATTGCAAGCTCGGAATGAAACAGGTCGTAGGTCATATAAGAACAGCAAGATGTGCTTGAGAGCTTAGCCATTTCAGAGTAGCCATGAGCCACCTAACAGGCACTGAACATGCTCAAACCAGCAAAAAATGTATCTAGGGCTTCCACTGTGAAGTGCAACTGTACAAACATTTTCAGCAGGGGAGTCCAAGAGAAATAGTAGTGGTTTACAAAGGCTTTAGAAGAGAGGGAAGAGAAGGCTTGCGGTAACACCATGTGGATAGATCTCTTTGGAAAGAAGTAAGGTTCTGATAAGAACTGTTGAGTGTGTACTCAGTGTTTAGACTAGTGTGCTCTGGTCGTCCTCACGAGTAGAATGCCAGACTTCGGTTGAGCGCTGGTATAATTGTTAATTTGTTGAATTTCTCTTGAGGGGAAGGCTGATTGTTTTCTTGCCAACTTTTTTAATGTTCACATTACACAATATATGTAGGCCAAGTACATATACTGAACATATACAATGTACACCTATTCACTTCTACCACAAGCACAATAAAAGGCCATTATTGGCAAAGCATACATGTATTTTCCCCCACCCCCCACAAAAGAGAAGAAAATTGGAAACCTGGTTTTAACCTTCCTGTTTTGGTCTGAGGTTGGCCAGGGCAACAAGGCTGTGACCTTCTGCCACACACTGCATCATGTTGTAGCAACTGTCTTTGCCACCGCTGTGAATGAAAAACTCAACAATTAATTGGTTCATTTATCCTGGCATGCATACATGTACATGCAAAGTGAGCAGGCCTTTGAAACTTTACATAATTTGTACGCCATGTGATGCTCTAAAGCCAAATTTAATTTTGTTAGTTGAGATTAGTTAATCTGATAAACATATTGGTTAATGAACTGGTACAGCATACTACATTGTTGGCTGATCACACTACATTTGTTGATCAAGTAGGAAATCACATAGACTTCAATTTCCACAACCAAGGGCATGAAGAGTTACAAAGAAAACCATGATTGGCTGATGGTGGGATGATTGACCAATCACAGCCATATCAAAGCCATGACCTGGTAGGTTTGGACTGTTAGAATTGATTCAATGATGCCCATTGATTTTGCGATGCTTCATGTTACATGTACATGTAGTTGTTCTAAAACAAGCATAGCCATGATGACTACCCACATAACTTTGGGATTCGTCATCTCCAGCGCTCCCATCTTTTGTGGGAATGCAGCAGATGACAAACCCCACAGTTCTGGGGGTACATGTTGGCAATTACTGAAGTTGGAGAAAGAGGTCGCGTAGAACGACGTGCATTTTATACTTTATTACAAAATATCACATTCACGTTGAAGAGACATGACATGAAAATCGAACCGCAGAAGAACACGGGCGATTTGCAATAGTGCGCCTCCAAGAGTTTGAAACGCGTTGACCAATCACAATGCGCGAAATCTGTCAACCCTTTCCAAATGCACATTGGGTAAATGGATTTCGCGCACTGTGATTGGTCAACGCATTGCAAACTCTTGGAGGCCCCCTATTGTGAAACGCCCATATTCATAGAACAAAGTATAAATATTTAGGATATGCATATGACGCATAACGTTCTAAGTGGCCTCCTTTTCCGACTACCATGATGGCATGGGGCTTTCCACTTCATATATGCAGCCAAGCTATACAGGCACTGTACAATGTACATGAACATGTATGTCATAGCAGCCAACACTAACACCAACTCTTATGACCAACTTGTTGGTTTGGACTTAGATTTTTTTCAATGATCCCCATTTATTTCATAAGCATGTATCAATATACTAACATGAAGGAATAATACATGGTTATGAGAAAGATCCCAATTCATTTTGTATTGGTTTGGACTCAATTTTGTTTTATCATGTTTATCAGCAAATTAACTGCATGACCAGTGGTTTCAGGGGTGTATTCTCAAGTGGTGGCATATTCTGAAATTACTCTGATATGGTTAAGGCCATAGACAACCCCTACTTTTAAGACACCTCTCCTAGAGCTAGCCCCAGATGACACGTTGGGCCAGTCTCATAAATTTTTCAACAATTTCTTTTGTGTTTGCTTTTTGAAGCGATCTTGGAGAGGATGTCATTAGAAAGATTTTGATATACATGTACGTGTACATGTACATGTACGTGTTCATGTACATAAGTTTGGATTCCATGGGACTCTACAAAGCAAAGAAATATTGATTTAAAGCAGGGATGTTAGAGATGTTTGGGGATTTTTTTGTACACGTGTATAATGCAGAGCAAAGTACCTTATGGATGAGAGTGGATTTCGATTGAAAAGCTTCAAATTGTTCTTATTTGTGCCTTATTTCACTGAATGAAATGCTGGCCTTCCCTTTGAAAGCTGCACTGCGATTGGTCCAATTTGCTTCCATTCCAATGACCAATCACAGCTCAACTTTCATTTGGGAAACAAAAGGAAAAGATAGGAGCTGTGTTGCGATTGCTCAAGCTATCATACAGTTGACAGTTTACGTGTTCGTGTACTAATTATTAAGACTGCTGCTGATTTTCTGTAGGCCTAGTTTGGATGGGCAAAATGCTAAAAAAATTCACCATTTCAATGAGCATGCACCTATAAGTATGAATAAACCTCCCCATCTGTCATCTAACTTTCCCACGAACTTGGGCATGTATGAAATTTGATTGCACAAATAGCTGTGATGGAAGAGTAAGTTGGCAGAATCAAAACAGCCAACATGTGGGAGTTAGTCCTGGTAGTACATGTAGTTGTACATACATGTAGCTATCTGAAAGGGTTTGTCATGTTTGTTCTGGAAGTAGGCCTACAAGTACAAGTTGTCATGACATGTACCGGTACCTAGGCTACGTCATACATGTATGTCATGTAGGCCTATGTAGACATGGTAGAGTAGCCTAAGTTAATTTTGGATAGAAAAGCTGTCACGGCTGTGAGGAATTTGTTTACAAAATGAGTGAAACAATTAAGTAAATATGTCCTTAAATACCGACTGCCTATACAATTCCAAAACTTAAAAAGCCTCACCTAATAAGAGCAACAATTTTCATTTTCGGTGTTGCTTTAAAGCTAATGAGAAGTACTATTGCGGTGGTATTGAATCTCCGCAGCATGCAGCATGCTCCACCTGTGTATAGCGCCCCCAAGCGATTAGGTCCCCCTAGTACTCATGCCGCTCCAAAACAATATTCAGACATGTATCACGTCTATCAAACTGAAAGATGGTTTACTACAAGATTTCTTTTGGATCATTTTAAATAAGATTGTAAATAAATTTATTTACATGACATCTTAGATTATATTTTTATTATAATTTCTAGATATATTGATTTTTTTAGTTTGCACAAGATATTAAATTAAACAAACAAATCTACAACTCTTTGATAGAGATTAAAAAAGGTCACTTCCACGTACTCCGAGTCCGACCACAGTGTTTACGTTCGGCTGTAAATTTTTATTTTACTTCTAACAGTTAGTTACAGCCACAGGTAATCAGATTTGTTTCAAAATGGACCCATTCCGCATGCTCCAGTAATCATCACTGGAATTTTTTTTAATTCTGTGGTTGTTGAGTAAAAATGGTGGCTTAATTTTATTCGAAGATTTTCTGTCATGTCTGTTGGAAATTACGCCTTGGTAAGTTCTTGCTTGCGTAATAATACGTGGAATAACCTAATTCTTGAATTACAAACTGACGAACCAAACATTCCAAAAGGAAAAGGCGCTTCCGTTAGGTCCGTGTGCCATTAGTTCTGGGATGTGTCTTGCCCGTTTTGTTTACACGGGGTCATAACACTATCTGTTTTCAAATCCATCCTCTGAGGTAAATTAGTGGTGACGCACATTCTACTTTCTCAATCAAATTTTCCTGTTGGAACAGTTTCCTGTTTCCCGTGAAGTACAGTGTACACGTAGGCCTATGTGTCCTTACTTAGGTAAGGAGTCCAGCAAAACGGCACCTCTAAATTAATATATCTGAAAACGAGTGAGAGTGTTTGTTTTCAATCAATGATTTCTGCCCTTTTTGTGCATCAAATTCTTAATTTTAAAAAGCAGTTGTGTTGTAAAAGAACTGAAATTTGGGTTAGTACCATTTATTATTTCTGTTTACATGAACGCCATGTTTTGGGTGTAAAGTATGATGAAATTAAGATCGGAGCCACCTACACTTCATCAACAGCTGTGTGCGACCATCTTTGTTTGTTGTCATGTGACATAGTCTCATCTAAGCCTAATATCTCGTGAAACTCAACCGGGTTTGGAACAATGATGTCATCATCTAGTAGAACTTAAAATACTCTTTCATTTGATGTATGACTCAAGGCATTTGACCAAAGTACCGTCAAGCCTTGTTTTGGTTTGTGAAGACTACAAAAAGATAACAAAAAAATGTGCATTTTTCTGTTGAAAATCCAAAAAAAGCATGTATGAGGAGTTGATGAAACATATATGAAACGGTGTTTATTTGGAAGCTTGGAATTTCAGGAAGAAAAGGAAGTTGTCTTTTGTCAAAAATCGATGTCGAACTGGTGCCGAACAGCCCTTTTGTATTGGGGTGCTGTCGCACAAATGTGCACATGGTGTATGCATCATGTATACATCAGATTGATGCATGGTGCACGGGTAGCAAGATGCAAATAACAAGCGCATAAACCATACATGTTGTTTCAATGAAATGTTATCAAAAGACCCTGTCAAACAAGAGCAGACTTAAAATGACACTGACAGATTTGGTCCCCTATTTTTATAGCTAGTTATTGATGTATGCTTCAGTGATCTTTTACACATCACTAAAAATTTCAAGCACAACTCAATTGTCCTGTTACTATATACATGTACACATATCCTGTGTTTTTCATTGATAAAGTTCTCCATAATAAAAGATATCGTTTACTTTACACTTCCTCTGTGACTTAACTGCAGATCTTTGTCCAACTCTGGCATGTCTGGAAGTGGGACCGATGAGGGACAAGACCCCATGTGGTTCAAATACATTGATAAAAATAAAACTTATGTCCACCCCCAAAATGTGACAGACTGTATGATTACACCTAGTTTTAATAACAAAGAAATTCATAACTTCACTATACTTGCAGCTATTGAGCTAAATTTTATACTATTGAATTTCTTTTAAAATTCTCTTTCCAATGGTACTAAATTTGTAGGGGTCAAATAAAAAATCCTGAAAAGTGCTGCACTCCCTAACTTACATGTAGGCCTACATGTACGTGTAAGTAACTCTTGAAACCATAGGCCTACGTACTCACCGATCTCCTGTTTTCCAGCCGATGACAGTAAATTTGGGTATCCTGTTCCTATGATAGAAGAGAAAGCTGCATTAAATTTAATTTATTTTTAACTTTTGAATTCACCTTATCACCTTATCACTGACTGTGAGTGTGACATCATGCTCGATAACTATAGTATAGGGTTAATGTCATAATAGGCAGGGTTTCAAGTTTTGAGGGAAATTATGAGGGGAACTGAGTTTATTTAACACATGACGCATGGTGGATTCAAATTTGCATGGCAAGTATATCAGTAAGAAAGCAACATTTCTCACAATTTAACATTTTGAAATTTCCAAAGAAGAGGGTCAGCACAATAAAGAGAGTGTTGCCTTTGTTTTGGGGGGGACTTACCAGTTTGACAAGATTAAAATGTCAAAATGTCCCCAAGTAAACAATCCCCTGCACACTAGCCAGCTCCGCATGCAGGTTTGACCATTTTTGGAGACGGGTGGAATCATGTTTTTATCACACAAGTGGCCTGGTTGTGATAGACCATGGAGTTAGGAACCAACCTCCAAGGATGGACTGATAGTGACCATGCCTTGAGAACGCATGACACGCACTGCACTAGCGTTACATGTACAGTATACGTGTAGCTGTGTGGCTGTGACAGGTACATGTAAAACACCCCCCACCTCCGCAGTGCGACACACGACTTTTTTCACCTTCTGACAGCAGTGAAATCCACTAAGTTTTATGAGCTGAAATTTCGCCAGAATGCTCAGTACACAATGCTCAGGTGTCAGACTACATGTACATGTATCTGCAGGTTTGCTGTTCAGAGGAACTTACAGTGTACACATGGCACATGTACATGTACCTTTCCCTACATTTTTAGAGAGAAATTTATTGCCACCATTTATAAGGTGCTACACCTGTACACAATCACCATTTATAAGGCTGTGTAGTACATGTACATGTACATGAGTTTTTGCAATGGACACATTTTGACTTGCATTTGATCCCACCAACTGCTGATTTACGTGTATGTTACAGCAGAATTGACTGCTTTAGCGCAGTGGGGGGAGCGTTGTCAAACTAATGCAGGAACATTGTGTCTTTCTTTTTTTTTTTGGTAACTTATGATTTGAGCATTGTATGTTACACAGCCACTGAAGCATGATTTCTCATACAAAACACAGGCTAAAACAGGCATGACAGGTGCTGTCGCAGACATGGTAGAGTTCCTTCTAATTTAGACAGGGTCATGACTTGCGTTTGCATCGACCAGAGTAGGTGCTGTCGTAGTGCTCCCACTGCTTTGTAGTGCAAAGTTTGTCCGTTACAAAAATTCATGCACTACATGTATGCAGCCACTTGTACATGTACATACATGCACATGTACAGCATAGGCCAGGATGGACCAGATTAATCATGGAGGTTGTTACATACCATCACATGTACATGTATTAAGCATGAAGGTACTTTAAATTGTATTTAATTTGAGTAATCCACACACATGTAGGTGAATCAGATTGTGTGATCACATCGGTTGGAATCGCCCAAGGATGTGGGAGTCTTGTATCTAGCTTGAACTTCTAATTTGAGTTGACTTACAACAAATGAAGGATTCCTGAACCGTGCGCCATGGCCTGGATGTTCAGTAAAGCCGAAAACCTCTTAAACTCTTTGGACCAGTCAGCAAGCCAAGTGCTCACCTCAAGTCCCGCGTCAGACACAAAGAGCTATGCCAACGGGGGCACAGCTCTCCATCAGACTGAGTTTGCCGTTGGTAATGGAAGACAAAACAGTCACACACCGGTCTCATCAAGTCAGATGACAACATCTGCCAGTGCCCACAACCTGACTCCCACCGAGTTGGCCAACACAGCCAACATCCGCCGGACGCCCAGCGACAGCACCCTAGCCTCCCCCTCCGCCCAACCAAAGAGCCGCAGCTCCAAACTCCGCGCTGACCAAGACGATGAGAAACTCTTTGAATTCTTGAACAAGCCATCAACAGGCACGACCGGGAGATCATCGCCACTTGCCGGCGAGCGGCGCAGAGACAAGAAGAACGCTGTTGTGAACAGTGGGGGAGGAAACGCAGTCAATGGACGCCATTCAAGACAATCCAGTACCTCCTCAACCGTGTCGTCAAAAAGTGCACGAGTTGACGGGGTAGCAGTGGACTGTGCTCCAATATCAACCACAGACAATCCAGGTAGGACACTTTTTTGTTTATTCAATACTTTTTTTTTCTAAATGGTAATTCAGCTGTGAAAAAACAGTGAAGTGAGCTACAATGTAACATCTTGCTATTTCATTGTACATGTACAGTGTACATCTACACTGTACAGTGTACATCTACACTGTACAGTGCACATCTACACTGTACATATATGCATTTGACAACATACTGTTGCCCCCCTCCTCCAAAAAGCCCCCAAAGTACATGTACATTCATGTATGTGCACATTTGTCATGCATTTATAGTGGTCAGTTTTAAAGCATAGATACAATGTACATGCACATGATACGTTGTATTTTAATTGTACATTTCAGGTAAAATGATTGATTGCTGCTTTTATTTCCTGGTATGGGGGAAGTTCCGATTAAACTTTCAACAGTGGGCCAGAATTTTCTGTTTTTAGTTTTCATTACTCTGTCTTCAAAGTACCTTTGATACAGATTATCAGGTTTTTCCCCAACCTCATCCAACTTGAGGCCAGATTACCCTTGAATGTTCAAAGTGTACGTGTGTGTTGAAATACAGCTTACATGCACAGTACATATCATTTGGTCTATTTGATTATTAAATATTTTCAGGTACATGTATGGTACATGTACAGTATATGAAATCCAATCCATATATTGGCCTTGTGTGATATTGAATATTAAGAAAAACAAGTTACATGTACGTGTACACGTAAGTTCCAGTGCAATCAAATTCAACAATTTCTCCCAAATAAAAAAAGATTTTTTCACCAGCAGAATGTTTTATATTCAAAATCGTACACAAATATCTTGGCTGTAGTGCTTTTGCCTGCTGGCGATGACCAACCAGACAGTCGTGACAGTGCTGTACCACCATTGGTCAACAACATCTCTGACAGTGACCGCTCTGATGGACCAGAGGAAATGTTGTATCCCTCTGCCCCCCATCAAGAGGATCAGGGCATGGGGGACGAGCGGTCCCACCAGCTTTCCTCCTTGGAACTGGAGAACAAGCTTCTCAGAAATGAGGTGGCGTCACTGAACCAGGAGATGGCATCTGCCCTGAGCAGGGCACGCAAAGCACAGGAAGGTAGGTTGTGGCTTATTTTTTCGACTGACTTTCTTGGTATTTGGGTCCAAGGCATTCCTGTCCCGACTCAAATCCAGCATATCCTGGTACACGTAACTTGTGTCCTAGTATTCATGAAGGCCGAAGAGGGTTTGCGCTTATTTATAGCGCAGTTGAATAATTGGGGTCACCATGAAGAGAAAACAGAAAGACTTCACCATATTCCAAGCACGTGTACCAGTAGTTGATCTGTGTTATGGGGTACTGAAGGGCTGTGCTGAATATCTGAATAACCGAATATTCGATCGATTGTCGAATATTCGAACAATATTTTTCAAATTTGAATATTTGAATCCAAAATTCATAAAAAGGAAGGGGAAATTTTCTTTTGTTTTAAATTTAAAAAATTGCACCATGGAAGCTTGTTTCCAGCAGATTCAAATGAAAAGCGTCAGAAATCTTACGATTTAAAAAGTAAATTATTCATTGAACAACCAGACCACCTAGAAAGAAAATACAACTTGGATAATAAAAATGAGAATTTTCCAAAGAACGGAGGCATCTGTTGTTGGATACTGGCCCAAAAGCCAAAGTTCAGGATCATTGTAGTAAAAGGGGTTAAAGGCCTTTTATTCTTTTCCTTCAGGCCCAAGAGATGTGAAGTTAGTGACCAATGTTAAAATGTGCTGGATTTAACAAGTAAAACTTCAATCATTTAGAATAGAGAAAGGATGGCATTGTGGACCATTACCAATTATCTTCTCTTAATCTCCTCTCAGAGCTCCAACGGGTGAAGTCAGAGATGCAGCGGCATCAAAACCAGATTTCCAGCACTGACGGCATCATTTGCCAGCTGCAGGCCCGGGAGGAAGACCTGGTGGAGGAGCTGGGTGCCAAGAACTCCCAGCTGGCTGTCTTGAGGGTCCGTCTACAGGAGGCAGACGGAGAGCTGAAGGCCAAGGCCCAGCGGCTGGAAGAGCTAACATCAGAGAGAGACAGGTCAGGCCAAAAAAAGTTCTGCTTCCGATTGCATGCCTCTCAAAAATAGGGCTGTATGCTGGAAAAATTTTTTTTTGGGGGGGGTCGATTTTTTGTGCTGATGTAATCTGCTCCAAGTGCAACAAAAGTGGTTGTGTTTTTTTTTGGTACTCACCGCATCAGCGCACGTTTATCATCAGTCAAAATGCTAGTCAGATAATCACTACGGCAGACTGGCCAACAAAGTCCATGTATCGCGTGGTAAGCAAGCATGATGCATCCAGACGGACGGGCGATAAACCTCTTGCTGCAGCAGAAAATTTTGTGGAAACACGCTTGCTTCAAGTAACAGTAAAACATCCTCACATTAAATTTGTGAACACAGAAAATACGTACATAGACAAGAGACCAAGAGCTGTGAATCAACTTGCAGGTATCGTCTTGCAACATCTATTTTTTGGGACCTGCAGCTGTAGGGTTGCATGTGCATACAGCCAATGTAGTGTAATCGACCGGGACATATAGACCAGTTGGCACATTTCCATCATGCTTTCTTTTGCATGGGCGCGGTGCAGCAGCAACCAGGGCAGCATTGAGCTTTGAGCATGTTTTCACCACTGCGACAGCAAAACACGAGCAGAACTCATGAAAATAATTGAAGTCTCTTTTCAAAAATTGCAAATGTAAGTAGAAAAACATATAAAAACAAGCATTTTAATATAAGAAGGGGTTTTTGAAAGGTATTTTATGAAGACAGAAAAGACATCAGGATTTATTTTAAAACTTTTTGGTGTTTAAAATTTGTTTAAATTTGCTTTTTCTTGCCGAAAAAACATAAGGGTTGCGCCAACAAAGACAGTTCTTTGTCATCTTCTGTTACTTCAGTACTCGTGATTGCCTGGCAAAACTGGTTTGTGATTCAACCTGTGACCGACTTGGTATCAGTTTGGCATTGGTAACCTTGTCATATGTAACACTAAGGGAAATATTCCATGCTTTCTGTTTTCCTCTTAAAATCCCATCTTTTCATGTTCATCTTCTTTCCATCCGTACAGTTTGATAAATGTTCTCGTTTTATCAATCTGTTTCTTGTTTTGTTTTCCTCGTAACCCATTCTTCAATCTTGTTCATCTCTTCTCAATAATTTTTCAGATTAATATTTGCAATACACAGGTCAGAGATTTGTAAATGCCAAAACATGACTGGGTTTTAGGGAAACTGCCTCGTATTCTAACCTATTAAAGATTGTTGTATTGATGTTATTATCATTTTTCCGTCTCTCTGTTTCCCCACCTTTTCAGTGTTGTAGCTGTCATCTCAACCACTTTTTCACTGCTTATGCCTTACATTTCACTCACAGAATCCTTCGTGACCACAGTGATGCAAGTGGTGTCCACAGTAATGCATTGGACTCTGTCAAGGACAGACTCACAGAGACAGAGTCTTTATTGAAGAGAGAGCAGGACGCTTATAAAACAGCACAGGTGAGCCGAGTGCAGCCACCGAATAAACTGACCAACTAGGAACCATGGCTTACAGATGAATATGCATGTATTCAAATATTAATCAGTGCATTTTCATAATCAAGCCATGTATGCCTATTGGCTAGATATTATGTAACGTTTTGTTTGTGGACTCTCAAGCTCCCTTTGGAATCTGGCTTATTGTCTTGATTTCTCTCAGGTTGAGTTCATGGAGAGGCAAGGGAAACTTGAAACAGAGCAGCAGAACCTGGCCGAAGCACTGACGTCATCTCAGAAGAAGTACCATGAAGAAAAGAGTATCCTTAACGTATTTGCCATTCAGGGAGTTGACAGTGTTGACCGTTCACGCTGTCTTCAGCGGACTACTCAAAATGATCAAATCCCCTTGCGGCAACCACAGTGGGATGGATACAGAAAAGATCACCTTGGTCCAAAGGCATACTGGCTCACCGTTATACATTTGAAAGTTTACGCAGCAAGATGTTCCAGTACTGCTCGTCCAGTCTCTTCTAAAGAGCATGTGATTAAGAAATGATGGCCAAGTAAACCTGATGGTTTTGGTCCGTAGCATGCATCAGTGGGCACCCCGTTGCACCCCGAATTGTCACTATAATTGTCATTTTAACTGAAATATCTGAGGGCAACTTGAACACCTTGGGACGATATTGGTCTTTCTGTAAGAGAACTCTGTTGGGTTGTGAAGAGTCTATTACGAGTATAAATTCAAGTATTGTGATTTCTGTAACCTTCAGGAAATGCAGAGGGACACATATCTTTTTCTTCTCTAACATCTTAGGACTTTGAATTCCTTAGCCCCCCCCTTACTCTGACAGGCAACTCACATCAGCTGGTCCAGCAGCTCAAGATAGCCAAGACCCAGCTGGAGTCGGCTAAGGAAGAGCTTGGCGATTACAAGCAGAAGGCTACCCGAATACTCCAGGTAGGAATGCGTCCTTGGATTGGGAATGACTGTGTATCACAACCTTCGATCATCAGGCAACCTGGGGAAGTCTCTGTTACAGTATGAGTCAGTTGAGTATTTCAAAAAAGCGAGGTTATTCAGGAATGATGTACGTGCGAGTCTGCATAGGGCTGTGCTGTTAGGGCAGATCTCATGCGCACCTCCAAATGACATGACCTCTTCATTCAAATGCACTTCATTTTGCCATGTGCTGTTGGAATATAGAACTGGCCCATTGAAAGTGGAAAATTCATTGTAACATTTACCAGTTTTTATTGAACTGATTTATATAATGCCCTCTTGTTTAATGCTTGAATAAATACCAAAGTTTGTTGTGAAATAACAATTTTGTTTTTAAGAGGGTAAATTTGGCATCATCACCAACTTTACTCGAGATTCAGGCCGCGTCCGAAACGGGCTTCCAGAGCTACAGCTAGGTCTGTTGTCTACGCATCTCTGCACATTTCCAGTGGAGGGAAGACCTAGACCTAGCTCCAGAGAACAGATTGGGATGCAGCCTCAGTAACACATACCGGTACATGCAGTGGTACAACCACCGTGTTTGAATGCTACTGGTTGGCAACCAACCTCCCAGTATACACATGCAGTTGGCGCTGGCACTAGTTGGCAGCCTGCAGAGAAATAATAGTAATATGCTCATGCTTATCAACCGAGACATTTCTGTATAACCTCCAGTCCAAGGACAAGCTGATTGCCAGCCTCAAGGACGGCGCGGGCCCCAGCGACGGCTCTGCCACGTCAGGGTTGGAGCTGGAGGAGATCAGGAACGAGAGGGACAGCTTGAGGGAGGAGCTGCAGATGGCCAACGGGAGGTTGCAGCAGCTCAGGAGCGAGTTACAGGTAATGGAAATCAACTGATGGGAGGGATGGCGGCCGTCATGGTGGATGTTGTTTCAGAGGTTGTGAACAGGTAGCATTAAGTTGCTAATGCACCCTATTGAGGATGTGATTCGTTGAAAAGAAATGGCCAAATTTTGTCAACATTGTTCCACCTTTACACTGACTGTGTTGTGTTCGGTAGGAGTTTGCATTTTGTGCTCTGAAAGTACATATTAGTCTTTTGCGGCTTTTTTGGGCATTACACAGTCACTTCAATTACCGTTCTGGCCCCACTCAAAGTTAAAGGCATATTTTAATTTGCTGCTTCAGTCATTCTATATATTTGGGGTCCGACGTGTGACATTTTTCTGTCCCTATGTAATTTGACATGGGATATCATTTGAATTGACTTCGTACTACTTTTATTTGTTGGGCAGGTAATCTGTTTGACATAATCATTCGGACATTGGAGAATGTGTTCTAAACATACAAAATCATACACAGGGATGGGAACATTTGGACCCTCGTATTTATAGAATGACCCACTTGCCAGTCTCCACAAACTGGTGGCTACAGTCATTCTTGTCATATCTTGCAGGAGTTGGAAGCCTTGCAGCAGTCAGAATCGGACACCGCCCAAGACCAGATTCGCGATTTAGAGGACCAGCTGACCACCGGGCAGCAGCAGCTGCGGGAGGCGGAGACAGACCTGCGACAGAAAGGGGAGGAGCTGAGATACATGGAAGGAGAGAGCTACAAGACCAAGATGAGCCTGCAGGCCAGGCTGCAGGACAGGGAGGATGAGATCCAGAAGCTGAGAAATCAGGTGCGACCCTGCTCGAGACGGGACATTCAAAATGTCGACAGAAATGAGAGAAGAGCCCCAGGTGTTAGTCAAATAGCGCCACAAAGATTGCTGTTCATAGTGATGTGGCAGGTGTCTATCCTCCGCATTTGCCTTTGAAGGGACTGCTGTGGTGAAACGTCTGTTCTTCCTCAGTTGTGAATTCTTCAGCAGCGGTTTGTTTTTTCAAACTATGAGTAAAATTATTGGATTCTATTAGTTTAGGATCTTTGCTAACTCCAGCTAATGCTTTGCGTGGATGAAATGCAAGTCTGGAACTGTCGCCCTTCAATGTATACCTAGTAATCATTAGGAAATGATGAATGTGGATACCGTGTCTTGCATTCCTTCCCCCCAGTTTTTTTCCTCATCAAAATGATTTATTGAGGGTGTAAATTGAACACTTTCAAAAGTTGAAATATTTGGTGGCTGGTCAAGCGACAAATTGAAGCTGCAGGGTGTTGCTTGGCAGCATCAGTATCAGCGGAGGAAAGCTTAAAACCTTGGATGGGACAGGTTGAAGTATTTGACCTCCATCCTCTTTTTTTTCTTTTTTTTTTGGTAGCTGATGACCAGGAGTGTCAGCAGTACATCTCAGTCGGAGCTGGAATCCCGGCTACATGCCTTGACAGAGAGCCTGATACAGAAGCAGACCATGCTGGAAGCACTGAGCACCGAGAAGAACTCACTGGTCATGCAGCTGGAGAGGGCCGAGGTACGGGCCTCTGCTGTCACTGCCGAGGCTGTCTTTCAGATCGTTCAAATGAAGTCTGAGGAAATTGCTGATGGTGCTTTGTAGATTATGGTGATGATAGCTCTATACACGTGTGCTTCAGTAGCAAAAGATGGAACAACTCTTGCCCGGTGACCTACATGTGTTATGTAACGTTATACAATGATGTAATGCCTGTGCCTGTGAATAAATCTTTGTCTTCTCAAAATGCTCGTGACTAATAGGTTAGTTCATTTTTGTTGGATTTTTCTATTCTAGATGTGCACATTTGACTAAAAGAGCAGAAACAAACCAGTTATTACTTTGACCTGTATTTCTTTGCAGAATATTTTTTGAAAGCACTGACGGTTAAAAGGGTAGCTGGGTTGAACTGAACTAAAAATAGCCCCAACATGGCACCTCTGAACCAAAGTACATGTAAACCAAACTGACTTGACTGGTCGTTGTACATACACGTCTGAATCCAAACCAACTTGTTGTTCAGCAATAAATGTCTTAACCGTATCTGAAGAAAATTCAAACCGTCCCTGGGGGCTTACTTGCAGCACTAGGCTTGCCCCTAGAGTAACAGTTCTTATTGCATCGGTGTGCGGTGTTGCGTTTATACAGAGGCAATGGAAAGAAGCTCAAGTCAGTGCTACCAGAAGCGAGAGTCACACCGTTACGCTGAGGAGCACGGATGACGAGGAAGGTAGGCACAGAGAATGCAGTGCCAAGTCCTGGCTAGGGCTTCCTGTATCACACATGCCTATGGATTGGATGCAGCCACTAGCTTTTTTTTTTTTATTTAAGGCTTGTTTGTTACCAGCAGCTGTAGGCAAGTTTTAGAGGGGATATAGATGGATTTCACATTCGCGCCGTCTGCGCATATCTGCATCGAAACCGAGGCTCTCTGTGTTGAATTTCGTTGCCCTCGCCCGCGGAGTTGACACAGTACATGCAGTATTTGGTTCATAAGTGTGGTGCCACTTCAGCTGAAGCCACGCCCACTGCATAAGATACACGGCCATCGCAGGTACGTTAGTTCGCGGTAAATTGCCATTGTTTTTTCTTTTGATTTCACGCGTCGAGTCATTCTGAAAGACTCAACAAAAATTTGTAGCCTGAAAAGGCTAAATTTAACATACCTTTATGTATTTTGTGTCTTAACTACTTACTTTCCATTGTCTGATCGTATTAAGTATTGAAGCTGACACATACAGCCTCGTTTTCAAATGCGGAAGTGCGCAGATCGACGCTAAAAGCGTCGTATTGGGATCCCTCTATAGGCATGATATTACATCCCTATGTGTGCTATACTATGTTGCTATTGGGGGGAGGGGATAGTTTAATCTCAGTTGAAGTACCAAATTACTATGGTAACCTAACAGACAATTATGCTGATTAGTAAATTGCTCTGCAAAAATGAGTCTTTGGTGGTAAAGTGAGATACTGTGATGAAAAGGGTATGAAATAGATGTAAGCCTTCTTTTGAATAGCATTAACCTTTCTTGTTATTTTGTTTTTATTTCACAAAGTTAATTCTGTCCCTTTTACAGTAAGTTAGAATAATCTCTTAGCTCTGAAGGAAAGCAAATTTATTGCAACAAACACAGAAACCACCAAATGCATGTATTTGTGTCTTGAGTCTCCGTAAAGTATACTTCATTCAAAGAAATCTGACAGACAATTGTTTGCAATAATTTGGCTCTGTCCTAGAAATATGGCCTTCATTGACATCCAGCAGAGCTCCTAAATTGCATCTAAGTGTGTTTCTCAGTATCATTGAAGAGACTTGCTCCTGCCTTCTCTTCCCAGGAACAAGGCAGCGGGGACTTCCCTCATTCTTGCGTGAAACACCCTTGGATGCGGTAGTCACTAAGAACGTCAAGCGAGCAGCCAACACCATCGACAAATTCAGCATTCGGCTTGGAGTGTTCCTGCGACGCTATCCGATCGCGAGGTTGTTTGTCATCGCCTATATGGTACGTGAACTTGTGACAGGCAAGAGTGGTGCGTCTGTAATATGCTTCCATGAAACAAATGCGAGATTGGTATCCTCCGAGATCCCCAGAACATGAGCCTGAAATGTTGGAAGTTTTTGCAGTAGTATGGAAAACAGAGGCCAGCACAGACACTTGATATGTGACTTGATATTTCAGTCATATGAAGGAACAAAGAATGAGTTACCTGGTCATTTTCCGTTTTCCTGAAGAGACACAAATACACCTGTCCCTTAATCACACACAAATCATATTGTCTAGAAAGGCGTACAACTGGAATTTCCGTTTTCACGAAGAGACACGTATTTGTTACCTTTGTAGCTGGGCCCATAGGCATGCTTGCTCTTTCCCTATAGAAAAAAGCTCATTGAACAGAAGGGCCAAAATGTATGAAAATATGGATTTTTGTTTTCACGTAGATCTGTGCTGATTAATTTCAGCTAATTAACTGCTGTCTTCATTCTATTTACCGAGCTCATGCAAAAGTCTACCTTTTTCAAAGAACCAATCGAAGGTTTCCTTACTGTGTAAAGTCTTTGCAAAGTAGTAGATTTTGAAACTTCTCGTGTAGTTTCCTTGGAAACCAGTTTTTCTTCAAAATGCACAAGTGTGTCTCATCGTGAAAATGCTGACAACATGTCCTTCTAAACTCCATGAACCCTACGTGAATTCAGACTGATTATTCAACATTGTACGTATGCATTGAGTGTTTTTAGCTTTGTATTTCAGTCGTGATTTAGACATTTTCTGTTATGCCTCAATAATATCATGATGTAATTGTAAAGGTTTGTAAATTGAGAAGGTTTGAATGTTTTGAATATCAGTGACACAGATTCTTATGACTGACGATTGGTTACCATGCCTACACATAAAAGTGAAAACTTAAAAGCAGAGAACATTCCCGAGCCATTGCTAGGAAATGTCAACGGTGTGACTTCACCTTGACTATTTTTTTTTTTAAATGATCATTCAACATACACTGTACGCTGAAGTTTGTGTTTAACATTTCAACAAAAATAAAATGGTGAAAGCAGTTTTTCGTTTTCTCAGTCGTCAAAAATATTTCTCCCTTTCAGATCTTGCTTCATATCTGGGTGATGATCGTCCTGCTGACTTACACTCCTGAAATCCATGGATCGGACTTCCATCCACAAGGTCCGAAATAAAGATTATTCTATAAAAAAAAGGGGCAAAAAGTGCTTGAGCCCATTAGTGAGGTACGTCTTAACAGACGTCAAAAACACATATTTTGTTAATAGGTAGACATCATTCCACAGTGGTGAACTCTCGCCTAAAGTTACACCCATCTAACAGATAATTAAGTAGACAGTGATAGTCAGACTGTGTTCTAAGGTTGTAAAGGAAGTTCACGAGGTTGCATGGACGCCCAGATATACATGAGGAGCTTTTACAGATTACAAAAAATAGACCAGCTATTAGCCCCTTGCCAAAAGAGAACAAAATTCATTCCTTAAGTCCAGTATTGGAATTGGTTCCTGTCAGTTATCAGACATCAGGTGTTGGGTTTCCAGTTTCGAGCATTAGTATTGAAAATAATTAGTTTTGCAAAGTTGATTTCAATTTATGCTGCCAAAAGCAGTAAAGCTGAACTTGAATCCTTGCATTGTTGGTCAGCAACTTCGAAAACATAAAATGAACCGCTACATTTGCCAATATTTAAATACTTTCCGCTCTGCTGCACCTCAGATAGCTTATGTACAATTTCCATTGGATTTTATTTCTAGCTGGTTGATCCAAGGATGTTGATCTTATGCATAATTGGTTGTAGCATTATGTAAATGAAAGCATATTCGTCGAGGAACAATGCAGAAAACCTACTAGTTCAAAATAGAGTCTATTATGAAAAGATTTATTTACTTTATAATCTGTGCTACAGTGTAGAGGCCTTTTGAGATCCATTGACGTTTCGAAAGAGAATTTTCTGATCAACTTTTTAGGAGTGCGGTACTTTGATGAAAACTGAAGCGTACAAATATTTAAATATGATAATGACGACTCTTTGATAGTTTGAATATTTTGTCAGCAGAAGCGTGTTGGTTATAATGGGGTTGGTGTAATGCAGGTCCACTGTATGTGGTCTTGCCAATACCAAGACCATTACTAGACAATTTCATTCCGTTTATTGAAGCCATTTGCCCCTGCACACTTGATAGTGTACATTTAGCTTAAGTGGTGGACTGCACTGTCAGGTCCCACGCCCAGGATGGCCCAGGTCAGGCTGCGCACCTTTATACACGATGCCAAGGAAAGCTTAAGCTATGCCCTGCACCATGGAGGAAGAAAATGAAGCTTGTGTTCCTCCATGCCTGTATTCCCTTCCTCTATGCCTAGACCTTCAGGTCTTGGAACTGGATTATTCAATTTTATTGTAAAATCCAGATTCTGTGGGAGCCCCTCGTAAGTTGGCAGTAGCATTCCATTGAAACGTTCACATGTTAGTGCTAACGGTCTGCTTTGTACATAGTGCTGAGGCAGCGTTTCACTGAGAATGCTGTGTTCCCAGTGGATTGACCGTCTATTCTGGAATGAGAACACAGTGTTCTGAATGGGATGTTCTGACAGTTCAAAAGAATGAGACACCCCTTTAGGGTTATTTTCACCCCATCATATCCAACATCTGGGTTAATTGGGTTCATGTCGTACATCCTTCATATCCCTAATCTGTTTTACACTGTCAGACCTTTCATACATAGATCATGCCACCCGTCAGACATAGGCACCAGACAGTTTAGGCTTGGCCATATGCTTCAACAGGCTCCGTCATATCGATCCATCAAAATACCCTGTTCCCAATTTGTCACAAACCATTGGAGCTCAAAGCCAGGATATTTCCTCACCAGATCCCATACCTGTGTTATCCTGTTCCATCTTACACCTACCATCTGAATCCACACCATGAAGACCCTTCATTGCCTACCTCCAACCCATTTGCCCTGTCATGATATCACATGAAGGAAATACTCCTATTCCCAAACTCGACAACATATAGGTTTTCCCGGACAATTTTCGAAAATGTGCTTTGACTTTGAAAAACATAAAAATTAAGTTTTGCATTGATTGTAAGAATGTTGCACATCCAGGTTTCACTTTTGCAGTAACTAGCATTCAATTTTATTTTAATGGCTGCAAGTATAGATGAAGAAGCTTGGTGATAAATTAATATGAATACAGGATTGCAGAATGGGACTTCGATTTGGAGCTAAAATGGAACGCCAGTACACTAAAGCTAGTACACATTAGAGAAATTATACGTGATATTTTAGGACTAATGCACCTTCATGGAAATAGAACTATCATTTGTTACCTAGAAACAGGGATTGTGAATGCTCATTTTATTTTGTACGAAAACAAATTGTCCGGGCAAACTTAAATTAGTGTACAGGTACTTTAAAATTCCATTTCTTCATTTTCATCCCTCCCTCAAACCCACTCCACTTGAGGTTGGCTTTTGTCATGATTTTTGTTTGCTTTATTTATTTCATTAATTATTTATGGGGGGGGTTCCCTCGGTCTCTTGGACTCTAGTCGATAATCTAATTAAGTATGTCCCTTTATGGTACAGCTGGCACTGACCAAAGAGGGTCCATGCCCTATGGGACGAGTTCCACTCGGCATCCATAGAACCAGGCCTCTCCCCCAACGGATGGTTGGTTCGCCTCTGTCAGGAATTCTTCTCTGAATGACTGTTTTATTTGCTGTCAGCATATTATAATCATGGACGTCATATGCACATGTGAAGAAATCTACAGGACTTGCAATGCTCTTGTACCGATTGAACCCACCGGCGGCTATCTTACAGTGCCGAATACAAAACGTGATTGCCACATGTCGGTGGTTAACAATGGTGAGCAAACCTTTGTATTACCTTTGTATTCGGCACGGTATGATGATCACCGGTGGCTTCATGAGACCTATGTGGGCTAAGGGCATTGCCACAGCTTTGAGTCCAAATTTTGTTAAAATAGACGGAATGCCCGAGGGGACTTTCTTTTTTAATTAAAGTAATGAGAGAAAAGGCGATGGGGGATTTTCTTTTCTTGCAAAAGTGTGTAGAGGGTCCCCCAATATTACCCTCACTCGCGCCATGCAAGGTTTACTAACCCCCCCTCAAAAAAAAAGTGCACTGGATTTGCGAGTGGATAAGAATTCAAGTATTGATGTACATATATTTATGTACATGTACGTTCTTGTAAATGGAAGAATGAATAAAAACACTGCATGCCAATGTGGAAGTGACGTGTAAACTGCTATACACGGAGTTGTCATTGTTGCTGGAGTTATTATTATTAGCATTATACAGGCCCTATGCTCCCCTTCAAAAACAGAGACCAAATATTTGTGAAGTCGACTTTTCTGACTATTTCATTTTTCCTTCCAAAGTGTATGCCTCCGAATTCAGTTTTGCATTTGCCCCCATGTTTGTTTGTTTGTTTGTTTGTTTGTTTTTGTTCGTCCTTTTTTACCATGGGGGGTAGACTGAACATCAGTACGTGTTTTTACAAATGCACAGGTTGGCTCCAAGAACACTAACAATGTACATGTAGTTTATACTACTTATTATGGAAGGGGGTCATACTAAGAAAGACGATCTCGTGTGCACCGGAAAAATTACGATTTTAAAATCTTTTTACAGAGCAACTAAAAATTCCACTTCAATTAGAAACTAATAGCAAAAAAAAAATATTGGGATTTTCCCAAGGAAAAAATGAACAAAGTCAGAAAACCTGAGAGAAAATGATCATCGAAGTCGCACCCCTACATATTTTCAATGGCCTGCTCACACTCCTTGCCAACTGAAACTAATTAGTGGGAATGCTGCAATCCGCCCCCCCCCGTCACCGGCCGCTACGCACCTGCACCGCTTCCCTTTGTAAGTCCACCACTGAACAAAGATTACACACAGCAATCCTCATATTTTTCAGCCTGCGAAAAACATTGCTTGGCTAATTGCTAGTTTCAGATCTGCCTTCGCCGAACCAAAAATCTGATGTCATGTGTATGTCAGTTTTTTTAGCTCCTTCCCTCACCTTTGGAATTTCCAGCATTTAGAAGAAAATAGGATGGTCTCCATTATAGTATTTTCTTTCAGGATTGCCCAGACAATTCTACGCGTTTGAAGCAAGATATGGGACGGAGAGGAACCCCCCCCCTGCCTTTGTGTTGGTCAGTGTTTGATCAGGAATTCTTTAGAAACTTCTAGGGGGGCATGTGTTAGGTAATAATAGTCTAGAGTGTGTATAGGGATTAGACCGGTAAGGCGGGTACCCCTCCGTCCCATATCTATACACATGCAGCAAGGTATGAGACGGAGAGAACCCCCCCTGCTTTGTGTTGGTCATCGTCTCGCAGGAA